TACTTTGTGGTGTAATAATATGTCCCAGATACTCTCATTCTTGCTCACCAAATACACATTTCTTCAACTGACAAAAAATTGATGTTGCTTGAGAATTTTGAATACTGCTCAACATGTTCAAGATGCAAAACCCAGCTATCACTATATATCAAGATTTCATCAAAAAATACCAATACGAACTTATGTAGATAGGGACAAAAAATGGAGTTCATGATAGCTTGAAAGGTGGATGGACCATTGCATAGCCCAAATGTTATTACCAGATACTCATAATACCCATTGTGTGTTCGAAATGCCATTTTGTGAATATCTGTAGGATGAAATTGTACTTGATGATAACCTGCAGTTAAGTCCAATTTAGTAAAGAATTGAACTCCGTATAATTCATCGAGCATGTCATCTACAGTGGGGATAGGAAATCTGTCTTTCACAGTTGCCAAATTAAGAGCACGATAGTTAGTACAAAACCTCCGTGTTCTATCCTTCTTGCATACCAATAACATTGGTGATGAAAAAGGACTAGTATTGAGTCTAATTAGACCAGAATCCAACATCTTGTTAACTTGTCTTTCAATTTCTGTTTTTTGAAAATGAGCATACCAGTAAGGTCAGACATTAATTAGTTCAGTATCTTCTCCAAAAACAATCTGGTACTCAACTTCTTTAATAGGTGACAATCCTTCTGGATCCTAAAAAATGTTAGAAAATTTAGAAACCAAATTCTGTAATTCTGGCTTCATGGTAGGTGACTCAGATTCTGCATGGGTAGCCACACAAATAGCAAACAGAGAGTGTTTCTAGTTCCATTCCTTACTGACTTCTTTTAGTGTAGCTGATCGGGAAAGAGGTGGAGTGATACCCCGAAGGATCCGCATCTGTCCTTCCCATCTGAATTTCATCGACATGCTTTGCCAGTCACAAACGACTGTGCCTAATTCAGAAAACTACTGTACTCCCAAAGCCAAATCTAATCCAATCAAGGGCAATATATAAAAAGTGAGGGAGAATTTGATACCTTGCATTTCCACTGGAACCTGTTCAAATCTTCTCCGACAACTCATGGGTTGTTCACAGGCAACTCGTACCGAAAAGGATTTGGTCGGAATGATAAAGAGGTGAAGTTGATTGGCAAGTCGCTCATTGATGAAATTGTGAGTCGACCCACTATTTACAAGGACCATTATCTATTGGTTGTTAATAGAAGCGACAATCTTCATGCTCCGATTGGTTGACCAACCTGAAAAAGCATGAAGGGAAATATCTAGTTCTTCGGCTGCGGTCATTTCTTCTTCTTCCTCTTCACCTTTGAGTAGCAGCAATTGGGGTTTGCGACACCGGTGACCGACCACAAACTTTTCGTCACAGTTGAAGCATAAACCTTGGGCTCGCCGTTTCTGCATCTCCTCCTCAGACAACCACTTGGTCGATTTTTGCACTGGAGCACTTGGAGACGAAGATGCGATTGTTAGGGTTTGCGTCTGTGTATTGGAGTTGAGTTGTCCGGTTCGGGTAGACCGCCTCAGCCAGTCTAACTGATCTTCTCTTATATGGGGCAGGTTGATGGCCTCCAATCTCGGGCTGAAAGAAACGGATCTCATCAGCAATCTCGGGCTTGAGCCCACCCATGAAAGAGCCAACCAAAGCTTTCTGACTCCAGCCTTGAACCCTATTGTCTAAACGCTTAAACTCCATTTGGAATTCTCGAAGTGGGCCAGTCTGCCTTAATTTGGATAGGGCCCATCAGCATCTTCACACTCGGTTAGCCCAAAACGAGCCCAAAGTTCATTTATAAACCCGGTCCAGTCCAACTCTCCTCCTTTCTGTGCATCTTCTTCATCCACTGCCAGACCAGAGATTTGCCTCCCCTGCCAGATGAAAAGCCGTCAACGTCACCTTGTTTGCTTCCGGAGTATCCTGCAAATCAAAGAATTGCTCAGCCTGGCTTATCTATTCGGTGGGATTTGTACCGTCGTAGATCGGAAAGTCGAGGTGTCCCAGTCGCGGACTAAACGAGGCTAGGTTTCCTTCAGTACAATTCGTGCCACCGTTTTTGGCCGGCCATGCCTGACCTTGCCGACCGACCGCGTTATTGTTTGAGCCTTGTTGAGACTCAAGGTTTTTGGCAATCGCCGAAGGGTTTCTTCCATCGTGTGGAGTTTATCTGCCACATCAATTTCCATTTGGTTGAGATGATCCTGCCAACCTCCCACACTTGCTTCCAATTGTTCAATTCTTTCTTTGTTAGTTGACATACCTGCTCTGATACCAATTAATAGGGTTCCAATTAGGACAAGAATAGATTTAGAGACATTCTCTTAGGGTGAGAAACACCACATTTTATTGCTGAATTATTCTCTCCAGTACTTTAGACATATAAGCTTAAATAGAAAAGAAAATATAAAAGTTCTTCTAATACAATAAACTGTAAATAACTATTAGAAACTATCTGATCACATCTTTTTCAGAAACTGCTCTGGTAACTGTTTAATCATTTTTGGTTGTTCTTGAAGTATCAAGGGTTGGGCATCTTGGGTCTCTATGATCTACATACTATATCAGGAGCTGTGAGGATAATGATATTGGCATTTACACGAATTAGGGTTTAATGTAACGGTTGGTATTCTTCTTAGTTTTATTGAGAAAATGCTAATGAAATGAACTTGCTACCAATAATATATGAGATGGAAGATGAGAGGGTTTTGTTCTGGTAGTGATTAGTATAGAGAAGATCCCTTTATTCTAACACTAAATAAATGATTTCATTAGGGGTTCTACCCTTGATATTTGAACTGATATGTTTTTACATATAGATATAATTTATGTATGCGAATATGTACCGTGTAGTTCCTGTTTAAAGGTTTATAATACTAGCGAACTTATGATGAGGTATGTAGTGTCTGCACAGACACATTGAAGAAAACATATATAGATGTGGTCTTTGTATGCAGCTACGTACTTATATTTATTGTTTGAAGCTGTATAATATTTAGGAACTTGTATGTGAGCATGTAGTGTCTGCACGTAAACAATGAAGAGAATTTATGTGGACATGGTCTGTGCATGCTTAATACATACTTGTATTTACTGTTTGAAGTTGTACTATATTTATGAACTTATATGGGGACATGTAGTGTCTGCACAGAAGAAACAATGAAGAAAATGATAGCTCTTGGATTTGAGGGATCAGCCAACAAGATTGGGGTTGGTGTTGTAACCTTAGATGGCACCATTCTCTCCAATCCACGTCACACTTACATCACACCACCCGGCCATGGGTTTCTGCCCCGAGAAACTGCACAGCATCATTTCCAACATGTTCTTCCCTTGGTCAAATCTGCATTGAAAGAAGCCCAAGTAATGCTGGAGGACATTGATTGCCTCTGTTACACTAAAGGTCCTGGCATGGGAGCGCCGCTTCAGGTCTCCGCCATTGTGGTCCGGGTTCTCTCACAGCTCTGGAAGAAGCCCATTATCGCAGTTAATCACTGTGTGGCCCATATTGAGATGGGTCGGATAGTGACGGGTGCAGATGATCCTGTTGTGTTGTATGTAAGTGGTGGGAACACACAAGTTATTGCATATAGTGAAGGGAGATATCGCATTTTTGGAGAGACTATTGACATTGCTGTTGGGAATTGCTTGGATCGATTTGCTCGGGTTTTAACACTCTCCAATGACCCAAGCCCTGGATATAACATTGAGCAGGTTTGTTCTTGTTAATGAGTCCTGGTACAAGTTCTTTTTTATTAGTGTACTGCGGGTGCTTTGAGTTCTAATTTTCACTTTTTTGTGTCTTATTTTGAATTTGGCATTTCAATATAGGACAGTTTAATAGAGCTTCTACATGAGGAGTTTAGTTTTATCCAAAAATTTATTTTTAAGTGGTAAAAGAAGTTTTTTTTTCTCATTGAATTGGGCATGCATATTCATGGTAATCTTAACTGAATTGTAAAAACAAAAGGTTTTCCATTTTATTTGCCTGATACCACTTTTCTTTTTCACCAGCTTGCCAAGAAAGGTGAAAAGTTCATCGACCTTCCTTATGTTGTTAAAGGAATGGATGTTTCTTTTAGTGGAATATTGAGCTGTATTGAAGCAACAGCTATCGAGAAGCTTCAAAATAATGAGTGCACCCCTGCAGATTTGTGCTACTCACTTCAAGTAAGTTATTTTGCGATTTTATATGTTTATAATGCATCCATAAGTGCACCTGTGTAAGAATTTAATGCATCTTGGGAAAAGATGCATTTTTGTATTATCATTTTCTTATATTAAGACGTTTTCTCTGTGATCTTGTTCTGATTTTTTTCCCTTATTCTGTTGTACTGTTTAATATTGTAGGAAACATTGTTTGCCATGCTTGTGGAGATCACCGAGAGGGCAATGGCTCATTGTGACAAGAAAGATGTTCTTATAGTTGGTGGTGTGGGTTGTAATGAGCGCTTGCAAGAGATGAAGAGAATAAAGTGTTCATAGCGTGGCATTTCCTTATATGCACTCGATTTTCCCCATTGAGTTGATAATGGGCCAAAGATAGCATAAAATGGTCTCCTTGCTTTTGCACATGGGTTCTCAACTCCACTGGAGGAATCACGCTTCACCCCGCGTTTCCGGACCGATGAAGTGCATGCAGTCTGGAAAGAAATGCAGGAATCATATATCAAGAATAGTTGAATTG